TACGCTTAGATTAATTAGTCTCTACATAGTACGTACTGTAGATCCAGTATGTGTTTGTTATTCTGTACTTTACTTGTGTTATATATATATATATATATATATATATATATATATATATATATAGTTTGCCAGTGAGTAACCAATAAAAATTGCAGATATGCGCTGTTTTGTATCCTGGGGATGCCACAGAAGATGGAAAGGTCCTACGATTGAAGCAACAATTTTTCCTCTGCAGTGCATCTCTCAAGGTATTTTTCCGGATCTCGTCTCATGTTTAGCTTGTAGTGTGAGGACATTTCTAATGTGCTAGACGTGTTAGTGCTTGTTTTCTATTCTATGTTGCCTTCATTATATGTGAAGTGCACAAATCCAGAGAAAAAACATATATAAATTGTTATGCCAACCTAGCCAAAAATTTAAATGGTTAACCCATTTGTCTTATAACATCATATTTTTTTTGCAGAATTGGTAGCACTCAATCCCTCTGGAAAATTCTGTACACCCCACTTTTCACAATAAAGTTCCATTTCTTCATGTCCACCTGATACATGCAGCATGACTTTTCTTCCACTTAGAATCAAATTACATTTGGTGTATACTGAGTTTGACTTGTTAGTTAAGCCTCACTTGAGCTGATATGCAACCTTGGAACCAAAACTACATATTTGAAATTTAAAACTTCTCATCTATCACCCATCTTCATGCTACAACTTAATCATTGACATGCTATTAGCTTGGAATTGTGGCCAGTCTTGGTATATGCTTATATTCAACGGGGTTGACACGACCTCATATTCAAGTGATTCTTACACAATCTACTATCTTTTGCAGGATATAATATTCAGATTCAAGGAAAGGAGAGGCGACAATGGCTCAATTGTTTGGTCTGAATTTCCTAACAAAGTAGCAGTACAGCTGAATGATACCCATCCTACCCTTGCAATTCCAGAACTGATGAGACTTTTGATGGATGATGAGGGTCTCGGATGGGATGAAGCATGGGATGTGGTGTCAAGGTGATTTCTTTGAAACAAAATCCACCACACTCAATTTCCTGATTAATAATTCACTTTGTGTATAATGCAATCCCCTTTCAAATACAGGCTATTTTCAGCTTCATTTATTATGATTATGATGAAATTCTAAGTAAGGATTTTGTTCATAAAGGACAATTGCTTATACCAATCACACGGTACTCCCTGAAGCACTGGAGAAATGGCCGCAATCTCTGATGTGGAAACTTCTTCCAAGGCATATGGAAATTATTGAAGAAATAGATAAGCGGGCAAGTTACTCTGAGAAATTGAATTATTTTGTAAGATAATTTCATATTTTCTGTTTATTTATCTGGAATCTTCGTACAGTTTTTGGGAATGGTACATTCTACACGACCTGATCTAGCAAGCAAGATCCAAAGCATGCGTGTCTTGGATTCTTCCAATCCTCAAAAGCCTGTTGTGCGCATGGCAAACTTGTGTGTGGTATCTTCTCACACGGTGAGGAAATTTTATGTCTGCTAACTACATTAATTCATACAAGACAGAGGGAGGGAGGGTACTATGCTTATGATTATGAATTTATTATGTTACTTTGATAATTACACTGATTTCAGTGTATCTGTGCATCATAGGTATGGCTTCTTCATGACCTAAAAGTAAATATAGAAGGGAGCTTGGTAATAAAACAAAGAAATACCAATACATTAATCATTGGGTAACCATGAAACAATCCATCCCTTATGGAAGAACCGAGAAGCCCTAGTTTCTTGAGCATGTTTCAATATCCATGACTGTCTCTTCGGGAAATACATTGATGGATCATGGATGGGTAGATTCAATATTCAATGCCTTACAAAAAAATTGTGATGACTCCCTTGGTAACCGTAACAATACCAATGATTCTGAATTCTGTTATTGTCTGATTAGCAGTTAGAAGCAGTGGTCCAGTTTTAAGTAACCACACCAATCTCTAAAATTCAGACCCATCACCTACAACTCTTCTTTTAGATTAACCAGTGAGTTGTATAGATGGGTGCTGGGCGCTGGCTACAAAACTAGTCAGTGTAAAAACTAGCCCCCTATTGTAAATGATTTTGTTATTATTAAATTATTGTTCCTTTGTGTGTCTCAAGTGGTGACACCGTTGTGTCCTGCACATAACTTGATATTTTTATGAATATTGGAATGCAAAAAATATTTTTTATACAACAATACCTTTTTTTATAAGGAAAAGTCTACAATGAGACCATTTATCTTTTATACAAGGTAGTCACAATTAATCTTGACCATTGGATGTGAGATTGGGTGGCTGCAATTATTGCATTGACCAAGCTTAAAGTTCAAGGGAAATTTTTTTGAACTTTATGACACACCCAAGCCATCAAATTTTACATCAGATGGTTATGTGTAATTGTGACCATCTTGTACAATAGGTAAAGGGTCTCATTGTATATAATCCCTCTTTATAATCATTGTTCCACTACACCAGTCATGAAATTATCATGAAGAAGAGACTCATGGCCAAATGGTGTCTAATATAACAGTGTTGAGTTCATCTCATCACATTCTCTTTTGTTTCTTGGTTTTTAATTCCCGAAGTTGTTCAGTGTTTGATAAAAGTAGTGATTCGAGCATTGTACAGTTGACATAATGCATATGGATAATAACCAGGTGAATGGCGTTGCTGAGTTGCACAGTGACATATTGAAATCAGAGTTGTTTGCAGACTATGTTTCATTATGGCCGAACAAGTTTCAGAATAAGACCAATGGCATCACTCCAAGAAGATGGCTCCAATTTTCCAGCCCTGAATTGAGTTCTATAATAACCAAATGGTTGAAAACAGATGAATGGATTACTAACCTCGACCTCCTTTCTGGGCTTCGCCAAGTGAGTTTATATCTAACTTTTAGGAAAATCAAAACTCTTTTTCTGTAGTAAAATGGATTAGGTCGATTCCAATGTTATGATCTTTCTAAACATTTATTGTATAAGTTAATAAGTTATAGTTTCCCCGAACTAATTTCTAACTGATTTTCACTGTCTTTTGGGACTTGCTACTTTGGAATTGTATTCAATAGTTTGGTGATGATAAGGATTTACATGCTGAATGGGCATCAGCCAAGATGGCTAATAAACGCCGCCTGGCTCAATATGTCTTGCAAGTTACAGGTGTAACTATCAATCCTAATAGCCTCTTTGACATACAAGTCAAACGCATTCATGAGTATAAGAGGCAGTTGTTAAATATACTGGGAGCTATATACAGATACAAGAATCTAAAGGTATGAGAACTTCTAGCAACTCTTTTGGATTTATTTACTGGTGACAAATTCTATTTGTGCTATCTTGAATTTACTACTGATTGCGAACCTTATTTAGATACTCGTCATGTTTCCTGGGAACCAATGCATGTTCTACAAGATCCACAGGATTTGTGAAAACAAATACTTACATAAGCAAAAAAATGGATCTCTTGTCATTTTGAAGCTTATTGTACTTACATTTTGGTAAAAAAAGAAGGTCAGAATATTAACTATTTTTCTTGTATCCTGGAATAATTTATAGGGATTGCATACTATGAGACCATTTACCATTGTTACAAGGAGGTCACAAGCACTCTTAGCCATTAGATGTCAAATTGGACGCCTTGGAGTGTGTTATGAAGTTCGAATTTTTTTTGTTTTTTAAATTTTGAGTCTAGTCAATGATATACTTACATCTACCCGATTTAAAATCTGACGGCAAGAGTGATTGTAACCTTCTTGTACTAAAAGTAAATGGCCTCTTTGAATACTTCTCTTAATTTATAAAGGAAAGTCGTGATAGAAAATATGTGCAATGAGGCCCAGTTTGGACATACCAATTGTTTGCGAGTAAGTATTGTTGTTAAATTGACTGATTTCCGAATGCTTCAAGGCATTGTTTTGTAATTTGCCCTATTCATGAGTTAGGCCCATTTATCTTCCCCAGTTATTTGAAAAATGGGAAAAAAAAAAAAAAAAAAAAGAACTCTCTTGCTTTTAGAAGATAAGTTATTTCCTGATTTCACGACTTGACCGAACATAGTTGTGGCATCCAAAGTGGGCTCCCATGTTTGTATAATTGCAAATTGAATAAACATGTCTGCTCCTCATCATTTGCTACTGAATCTATCACCCTCATAAACCTACACATCAGGAGATGAGCCCAGAAGAGCGTAAGAAGATGACACCACGCACCATAATGATTGGAGGAAAAGCTTTTGCGACATACACAAATGCAAAAAGAATTGTCAAGCTGGTGAATGATGTTGGAGATGTGGTCAACAAGGATCCAGAAATTGGCAATTTATTGAAGGTTTGTGTGCTTCCTATTCTTATTTTTTTGTATGGTTTTTGATGTTTAACACATCTCAATAAATATGCCACTGTCGTGGGAAGAAGAACATTAAAAAGATGTCTAATTGCCTCATTCCTTGAAGAATAATTTACTCTAGCCAATTAAACCAGGGAAAAGCATTGTCGATTTGGGTCGTTGCAGTCTGATAAAATGATGGATGGTGATGGGGATTGGGACCGAGCATTGGGGACATAGGTCCTGTACAGCAGGGCTCTGTGCTCTCTTCATCACCATCCATCATTTCGTTAGAAGGTGATGGCAGCAATGAACTATGGTTTTTAAGAGTCCATTTGAATGCTGTCTGATATGCAGTATACATGTATGAAGGGAAAGCATAATGTGATTTGAACAGACTATATGATGGTCCATTGGTTTCATTACCATCTATAAAAGGAAACTGATGGAGAAAGATATGCAAAATATATATATATCAAGGGAACGCATAATGTAATTTGAGCGGACTATATTATCGTCACATTGGTTTCATTACCATCAATGAAAGGAAAGTGATGTGGGGAGAGAGAGAGAGAGGTTGAAGAACCTACTGTTGGGTTCAAGTCTTCATGTATTCACGCACTCTCCCAATGACCAACCTTCATTTTATCAGACAGGTGATTTCATCAGATAAGTGATGACTACAATGGCATCACCACTCACCATCTTAATGCACTTTGAAGATGGCCTATATATTTCCATAGTAAATTTGCTTATAATCCAATTCCCATTTGTATCTTTTTTCCTTAGCATTTTTCTTGTAATTCTTTCAACCATTGGAAACTTACTGTACGTTCTCTGCCAAATTTGAACTTGTGACATATTGGTTCGTTGTTAACTATGACAACATTGTGTCCCAAGTTCAATTCGTACAACTGAATTACCCAAATAAAGAATTTCATTCATGTTATTGGATAAATTATTTCAGGTTGTCTTTGTTCCGAATTATAATGTATCAGTTGCTGAAATGCTGATACCCGGCAGTGAGCTGTCTCAACACATAAGCACAGCAGGCATGGAGGCAAGTGGAACAAGCAACATGAAGTTTGCTCTAAATGGGTGCCTCATAATTGGTACATTGGATGGTGCCAATGTTGAGATCAGAGAAGAAATTGGGGAAGAGAATTTTTTCCTATTTGGTGCCACAGCCGATGAGGTTCCAAAGTTGCGCAAGGAGAGAGAACAAGGACATGTAAGAATCGTTCTGCCCTTCTTTAAAAGGTTCTAGTCTTAAGAAACTGGAAGTCTGAAGCAAATCTCCATCCTCCATTCTTACTGATAGAGGATGGAAATGAACTTTTATGTCACCATTGTCTGCATACGTGGAGGAATAGTTCATCTCCATGGTCCCTCACTGATATGGATGGTGGAGATGTTTGTGCACTACATGAATTATAGTATAAATCCCTGTAAGAAATGAACCAAGGAAAAGCTTACTTTAATTTAAAGGAGTATGAAGTGGAATAAACAGACTAGTGTTGTTTCTTTCAAACTTCTAGCCTCAAAGCATGAAATGCCAAACAAGGGTTCTGACGGGACCTCAGGCCTTATATTTGGAAAACAGGAACAACATGTTGTTGTGGCTCCATTCAAATAAATGCACATCAAGGTAACACTAAAAGAAGAATAAAAAGGCCTCCCAGTAGATGTAGAAGGATCTAAAAACGAGGAAATAGAATAGATAGAAACAGAAAGTAGATGAGAAAAGTAAAGGAGTATGAGTCTTAATTATATAAGACAAGGGAATGTATATAAACAGAAGGAACAGGAAAAAGAGAAAGAATTATGAGGGATAACTAGATAAGAAAACAGGTATGATTCCTTTCAAAAGCAAAAGAATAGTAGGGTAATAGTTTCAATCAAATGAAACCAAAGCCATATTTTTTTGGAGTAGATCTTTTTTCTTGTCTACCAATCTCTATTTATTGGAATATTTACTCATGCTTTGGGGAATTGCAGTTCAAACCAGATCCTCGTTTTGAAGAAGCGAAGCAGTACATTAGGAGTGGTGCATTCGGGAGCTACGACTACAATCCGCTTCTTGATTCTTTGGAGGGGAATTCTGGTTATGGTCGTGGAGATTACTTCCTTGTCGGTCATGACTTCCCAAGCTACATGGATGCTCAAGATAGGGTCGATAAAGCATACAAGTAAGCCATTATTAATCTCTCTCTCGCCCTATGAATAAGAGATTTCTGTGCATGTGTGATCCCTTTCAATGCAACAGCACATGAAAATTCTTGTTTTGCAATTCAGAGACAAAACAAGGTGGTTGAAGATGTCCATACTGAGCACTGCAGGCAGTGGCAAATTCAGCAGCGACCGGACCATTTCACAATATGCGAAGGAGATCTGGAATATTGAGGAATGCATTGTTCCATAAACGACACAGGCACGTTCTCTCTCTCTCTCTCTGTCTCTGAGAAATAAGGATGGATCCCCACAAATATAGATGCAGAATAATTGGAGATCCAGGTGAATCAGTGGATTTACCTTATATTACTACGTTACCAAGCAAGTCTTCTCTCTCTCTCTCGTTGTCTCTGAGAAATAAGGATGGATCCCCACAAATATTGATGCAGTATAATTGGAGATCCAGGTGAATCAGTGGATTTACCTTATATTACTACGTTACCAAGCAAGTCTTCTTTATGTAAGAACCCACTTTCTTAAGATTACAGTCTAAATGTAACTGTGATTGGATCTATACTGTTTGGAGTATTTGCCATGAAATCATGATTTTACTTGAGGTGAGAACCGCAGAACCGTTGTCATAGTCATTCTGAAGTTGTTTTCTTAGTGGAGTTTTGCACGGAACCTCACTTTATCTCAAAAGATATGGAAATTTATCAAAATACACACGACTTTCAAAAAGTTAACGGGTCACTATTTTTTAACTACTCTAGATTTTGGTGATGTATATTTTTATTACTATTTTGAAATTAAATCAAAAGACATTTTGAAATTAAATCAAAAGACATGGGTAAAGTATTAAATAATTGATCTCTTTATGTGTATTTTGATTTTTTGTTTGTTGTTTGTGTATTTGATTTTTTGTTTTTTGTTTAAGATAGACTAGTAGGAAGAGATCCATTACGTATGCTTAAGAATGGATTTCAAGACGGCATATAACATCTAGCACTTTAACCACCTATTACCTATGTTTAGGAATGGATTTCAAGACGGCATAACATCTAGCACTTTAACTACCTATGTCTTGACACTTTAACCACCTATGTCCATTTCTACCATTTGTATTTAATGAGGGGTGTGGTTTCTATAAGGTTACAACCTTAAACAATCCAACTAAAGCGCACCTCCAAATTCTATCATAACATGTAATTTTGGTGTAAAAAATTTCTTAGGATTATCTGAAAATCTATTTTCATTTTTAATTATACAATTTTGAACTCTAAAAATGGTTAAAATAAAATAGATCTATAAATGTACGAAAATCTTGAAATTGGACGGTTTAGATAATATGTATAAGATGTACTATTTATGAGACTCAAATTTTTTTTTTTTTCTTTCATATTCATACATCTTGATGTCGAGATGATCGATTAGAGGATTTTTCAACATTAAAACAAACTTTTTCGAAGGATTTTTTAGGTGCATCTTTAATTCTACATTTTAAGGTTGCAAACTTATATAAACTTTTTTCTTCAATGAGACTACGAAGGAAACTTATAGCTTCCACGGTGGTGATGATCTCGGATGGGAAAAAACCTCACTTTTCCTACTCCCAGTGTTTGTCACATTAGTGACAACGGCCAATCCACATTAATATCTGCAATCTTTAATATTTGAAAAGGCATCATAATTTTCATTTATTTTAAACCAATAATAGATAGAAAAAAAAAGGAACATTGAGAAAAAGATGCATTCTATATAAGCCATCAACCTTAAAACAATTAGAATAAGGTACGCATCCAAAACTTGCTAGAAGTTGCAGTTTCAGAATCGAAAACTTCTAATATGATCAGAAAATCTGTTTTTGTTCATTATGAGACTTAAAGTTTTAAAAATTGCTCTAGTAGATCTATAACCACTTGAAAAATGAACGGTTTAGATAATGTGTTATAAAATGCATTATTTATCGGATCTGAAATCTTTTATTTTCGAGATGATCTATTGGATGGTTTTTTAGTGCGGGAACGACCTTCTTAAGTGGGTTCTTAAGCTGCACCTTCCTTTTACTGTCGAAGCATTATATAAACTTTTTCCTTTAAAATCAATGATCGAAAATTTGTTTTGCTTCTCAAAACTCGGTGGGGTCTCAGTCCTGAATCGCTCCACTCACGCCAGAGCTACCTCAACCAGTGTGTGGAGACTCGAGTGGTCCCCAAGTCTTTGGGCAACTTTTTTTTCATTATTTTTCAAAAGATTGTTTCGTCTTTTATCTTCTTTTTCTCTTCGGAGAGAGTTGGGAATTATTAAGCTAGCTCGAATTGATATGTTAACAATCAGCAATCAAACTATGTTTCGTAAGGAATTGTATACCATAAAACTATTTACCCGTATTGTTACCGTAAATTGGGATAAATGTTTACCCCTATCTCTACCCGCCCTTAATTTGCGACGCTCTAAACAGGCAAATTTAGGCATCCCTCAAAAATTTCATTAGAAGAGGTTGTATTCAAACCTAAATATCTTTAAATTGCTCAACTTCCTTCAATATACATAGACATGAGAAAAAAAAATGAATTTTAAGTTTTGAAAATAGTACTTCTTCTAATGTATTTTTGAACCGTCAATTTCAAGTTTTTATAGATCTGATAGATCTATACTATTTTTGAAGCTTTAAATTTTATAATTTGAGATGAAATATACTTTAAGGTTATCACAAAGATTTTCAATATTTAAACTACATTTCTCGACACTATTTAAATGTGCACTTTACTTTGATTGTTTAGAGACTCGGCTCTACACAAACCGAACTTGCAAATAAAAAGATCATACAACTATATCTCGGAACACTATTGGAAAATGGAGATCCAACCCCAAAAACCTCCATGATGGCTTGGAAATCTGTTTTTGCCATGGTAATATGAAGCCCCTAAAACGTTGCAAATTTAACACGTATGCATATATATATATATATAAACGTTGCTAAGGTGCTTTAGGGGTGAGGGCCGGTTGAGTCATTCCTTCTTGTTCATCAATCGGAAATCAAGACAAACTAGGCACTAAGGTGACACGTGAAAATACCCGATCCCATTTTGACCTCGATATGTGGAATCGTCTTGCGCCATATATACTGAAATTGTTCGGGAGACATGGTCCAAGCCCGGCCCAAAAGAAAGTCTTCACAAAGTCCCCTGCCTAACTTAAGAGAAGAGTTATAGCTGTTAAGCACTTGCTCTTCCTATGGTTGCAAAGAGCACTGGTTTAAAAGAGGTTTTGCAAATTGCAAAGAGCACTTTTTAAAGGAGGTTTTGCAAATCCCAAGCACGAGCCAAATCCCTGTCAATGGCACTGTACCATAAACTAAGCAATGCTTTGCTAGTTCCACTCCCTACCTATAGACTATAGACTCACCTCTGTCAAAATTTTTAGACAATCGACCATCGCAAACATATTATGTTCGTTGTGGTCGATTTTTCACACTGAACCGTACCGAATTTATTATGTTTGTTACGGAGCAAAAACACTGCTCACTGAACACTGCATCTATAAGCATTGGAAAGATTATATAAGGGCGAGGCCCTACACAATCAAATTAACGCACGCGTAATAGAGCTTGTAGAATTCATGGCTGCTGCATCTACTAAATTAACGCACGCGTAATAGAGCTTGTAGAATTCATGGCTGCGGCTAGTAGATGCAGCAGCCACAAGGAGAATATTTAAATTGTAGCTTAAAGATGTTCGGTACCATGTTCCTTTTTTAGTAAGACGCACCAGAGCGCTAAAGATAATAGAGAAAACTACAAAAAAACCCCTTCTATTTTGTGCCGAACATCATACTTACCAAAAACAAAATGCCGAACGACTTCCGTAGGATATTTTGATCTTCATTTGACGTTTTTCTTTTTTTTTTTTTAAGTTGATGTATTTACTAAGAAGGTTGAATTTCAAGTAAAATTTACTAAAAAAAAAAATTAGTCGGCTGAGAGGAAATTGTCTAGCAAGCATGATTTTGACGGGTATTTGTAATTTTCCCGAGATAAAACTCAACCATGTTTCCAACGATTATAGAAGTTATATGATAAAATGAAAAGTAAGTCGAGAGGTAACCATCAGAGCGAATACATGAACTTCAAAAGCTCGAATCCGGCCACCAGCCCAACAAATATTAACTCGGGACCTGGTGAGATGACGAAATTAACTGGGGGACCGAATGACATCTGTCACCATGTGAACAACAGTGTAACATTCTATCACATCCCCAAAAAGGCTAACAAAAATCCAACTAAGCAGCAATGAAGTAGTCGAGGAGATCACAGTGAGGGATGCCAATGGGTTCCACCATTGCACGTATGGTTTCCAATTGAGAACCAGAGCATATAGAAGTTTCTCAATAGTTGCATGTGAATATGTTCTCCAAATTATTTAATTGACAAGAAGACATGATTGATGCTCATTAACATAAGTTTCATGCAACTCCCAAGAAGATCAGAAAAGTTGGGGATACATGGTCGCATGACATCGATTTGATTTGGGTTTCGCTAGATTTTAGGTAGAAAATGGTTGCCCATAATTTAGAGGTTCATGATAGCTTGTCAAAAAACAAATATTTTAGGTAGAAGATGGAAACGATAATGATTTCACATATGCAGCAAGCAAGTGCCTGTCTTCGAGCGAGTGGATTGCATGAGATCACAAATAGCAAACACTCATCCAACATAATCGAATGAAGCAAACAGACGGACATCATAAGAATAGCCCAAGTGTCTGAGATTACATACGATCCAATCCATATTAGACTTTTTTGAGAAACCCAAGCAAAGAACCAACCACCCTAACCCAATCATAGATAATTTAATAAACACGTTCCATGCCTAGCTAAGAAAAACAAAACATGAACATCTCCAAGTAGCAATCATTCACAGGGCTCAAAACTACTCAGTTTTCACAATCTTACTCGCTTGATCCTGACCTTGGGCTAGGGCTACGGCTCCTAGTGCCACTCCTTTGGGTGGGTAAGCGGCTGCGGGATGGGCTCCTTGAAACACTTCTAGACCGGCTCCTCAAAAAACTACGAGAAATGCTGCATGTAGTGGGGCTCCCATTCACCGCACGATCACACTTTCTATCATATGGGGAATAGGAGCGATCATGCCTTCTAACACAAGGGGAATAGGAGCGATCGCGCCTTCTATCATATGGGGAATAGGAACGATCGCGCCTTCCATCATATGGGGAATAAGAGAGATCGCGCCTTCCATCACATGGGGAATAAGAGCGATCATGCCTTCCATCATATGGGGAATAAGAGCGATCGTGCCTTCTATAACATGGGGAATAAGAACGGCCACGCCTCCTATCGTAAGGGGAGTAAGAGCGATCACACCTGCTGCTGTAGCGAGAATATGAGCGCCTCCTCTCATAAGGGGAACAGGACTGATCTCTCCTATCATAGTCATATGGAGAATACGAGCGATCCCGCCTGCTTCTATTATAGTAAGGGGAATATGAGCGATCCCTACGGTCATATGGGGAGTAGGAACGGTCTCTTCGGTAGTATGGGGAGTAGGAACGATCACGGTTGGAGCGTCCACGCCTTTCGTAAGGGGAGTAAGAGCGATTACGCTCAGAGGAGTATCGGTCGCCATGGTATGGTGAGTAACTCGGAGAACGGCGACGAGCTGCACAAGATCACATTATAAGATATACAAAACTAATTGAACCAAAACATGCAGAAGAAAAATACATGCCATTCTAACCTCAAGAATTTTGACACCTAACTTCAAAACATGAGCACACAAAAATATCGAAAAAAAGCAATGCATGTAGTGCTAGCCTTTGTGCAAAACTCTTCCCAAAATACGAAAATACGGTAAGGCTTAGAAGCCCACCATATAAATCAAAGCGATATCTAAGGTCATAAGATTTGAGGCCAACATCGTATTATCTTTAGCAGTTTTTTGTACGGCAAAGCATGATAGTTACTGAGAGTTACAACTCACAAACCAAAAGACGAAGGTGAGATACAATTGTTACCTCGGACCGATCTCACACCAAGATACTTGCCAGGAGTTGGAGTCCTGCCTCTCCTCCGTCTCGCCTGCAAAAGGAGCCAAGTCAATTTGCAATAGAGGAACAGTACAAAAGACCACATCAGTAAGATCTCCCTCTCTCTCTCTCTCTCTCTTTCGTGCAAATACAGCATGTTAATTGTTCAAGTAAAAGAAATGCAGGGCATACAACCCTCTGGGTATATAGTCGAAGTTTGCTTGAGTTTGATTTGGTGTGCAAATTATGTGGGGTAGAAAGACTTTGAAGTTCGATGAAGCTGGCTACACACAGCAACCCTGCTGCCAAAAACACTTAAGAGCCGAACAAAACACTTACTCAAATCATGGGCACAACGGTTACCAATATCACACAAAACATGCCATTTCTATTACCATCTCAAAAAGAGATTCTAAGTATTGCACATGACGAGATTTAAGACCATGTTACCTTCTCAACAGTAATAACTCGACCCTCAAGCACAGATCTATCCAGGTACTTGAGACATCTATCAGCTTCCTCAACAGTAGACATTGTCACAAAACCAAAGCCACGAGATTCCCTTGTTCGGGGGTCAACAACAAGGTGACAGTCGGTCACCTGTGAATAACACAATCATCCACCAAAACAGGTTGAAACTCTCATTCAAGTGAGAATATCTTACTAAAACGAAATGGTAAAAATTTGAGGTGCAAGTTCCAATATCATTTATGGGCTAAAAACAGCTTTGAGACAAACCACATGTTGGAAAGTAATAATTAAAGAAAGTAACCTAGTCTTTGGTACTCAATGAGAACGTATGGATGGAATCTTACCGTTCCTTCGCTTGCAAAATGTTTCTCAAGATCCCTACTAGTAGCCCGAGAAGATAGACCAGTGACATAGAGATTGTTCCCAGGATTCTCTACTTCACTCGAATCAGAACTCCTGTTACAGATTTCCGTAAAACGAAATGTTAATGATCATAGTGTGAGCAAAGAAAAAAGAAGGAATGACCACAATAACCAAAAAAGTGCAAATGAAATCCATCGAAATCAAGTCATAACTAACAAGTTATAAAACACTACTTCCCTTTAATATAATATCTCACAGATCCAATTAAATAGTTCAAAACAGAAGCGAGAAATAGGATAGTACTGTAAATCACCCACCTAGAACGGCTTCTTGAACTTGACGAGAACCGGGAAACAGATCGGCCATTCATATATGGCAATCGTGAGCGGGAATACCTCCGAGAGTACGACATCTGCAAAGCAGTGATCACAATAAAAAAATTTAGGACTTAGAAAACAATAAATTAGATTGTCTTTTATTAAATACATTTGAGTAAAAAGACACAAAGTAGCTATCCCTCAAATGAAGGCATATGAGTGAAAGATAGAGAGCAAAGTCATAGTTGCAAAACCCAGTTAGAAACCTAAATAGGATATTGGAACTTCACTATTTTCAGATATGGGTTCCAGCAACACTAGCATCCACTTTAAAAACCCTGTGGATATGTACAGTCACCATGACCCCTACAGCACAAACCTTGGAACATGAGGGACCAATAATCGATATGGGCGTCAAAGAAACACAATTGAAGAATAGAACTTGGGAAAAAAAGTTCAAAAGGAACCAAATGCTGACCCAAAAAAAACCAAAACAAAAATACAATTCCTCAAGAAAAACCCTACACAGTCAAGCAGAGAAGCAGATGAAAACATTTGGACTTCCACAAACATCAGAGGAAAAATAACAATCTCAAAAACACACCAGAAGCACAAGGTCAACAATACGGAGACATAGAACTAGATAGAACCCTCCTGTCCACAAGTTACGAGAAAAGATAGGCAACACAAAGTAAGAATTTTATAAAAATAGGCATAAAGAAGAAGCGACAGTATGCTCAGCTGTCCACCGCTCACAAGTACTTGCAAACCCTTCCCAGACATAATTGAACAGGAATTCTATGAATCAAAAGACAATTGATAAACCAAACACTCAAAACACCTTCAGCAACACAACCTTCCAAAGAAACAGATTCCAGACCCCGATTTTCAGAAACAAACTGGAAAGCCAGATTTCAATGAGCAACACAAGAAATTATTCATGATACACAATGAACCAAAGCGAAAACAAAAAAAATCCATTATTTAACAATCAGATCATCAAAAGATGAAAATCACAATCCACATTTCAAAAGCACCAAGGATATTGAAAGGGCATCCTAGCTTCATGCAAATAAGTAGATCAAACAGAAAGTTGCAGACCCAAAATATATTCTACAGTATCCATCCACCTTCCAAAAACAAAATAAAAATGTAATTTTTCTATGAAGCACACATGAATTACTTGAATAGAAAACCAAATTTGCTCAGACTAAAAAGATTTAAACATGTTCCTACACCAACAAGCTTTTGTCGCCATCAAAAACAAATTGCCAATTTCCAACCAAGCTTATTCAAATATAAATTCAAATTCTAGCAACAAACACAAAATCAATTCCCTAATTTTCAAGGAAACTGCAGATGACACAATACAAAACATCTTTGCAATGATCAAATGATAAAAGAGGAAATCAAGCAAATTGCAATATTATTTTCGAGAAAAGAGACAAGATCTATTGCCTTGATTTCCATAAGCTAGGCATATGATGATTAAATACTAACATACAATAACCAATCCATAAATAAAGAACGAAGGACTCAAAATTGCAT